CTCAGTGAATTCCTCAGCCCCACTGTTCTACCTGTACTAGTAAAATGACAACTCTGAGGACACACAGAAAACTGCATAGTTTTCTAACTTCTTAGAAGAACAACTTATCCAAATCAATGACTACCTCTTGGCCTTATTCAATTCAAGGTGAAAGCCTTAGAGGGCCTTTTAATTCCTTCTTATCCTGTGATTTTAGACATTTTCAAATCATCCTGTTTGGCCCAAATATATAGAGACAGCTGAGAGGCTCAGGAGGAGGCAAGTTCCCAGTCTGACAAAGTAAGATAGCCTATTTTCTTCATCCCTATAAAGCACAGACGTGAAGATGCCTGAGGACTGAGAATTATTCAAGCCTAAAGACCAATGATATTCTTTCAGTCAATGTTAAGTAAAAAAAAAAATTTACCATGACGCTGGGACTGTACTTTGACATTACTTAACTACTACAAAACCAGACAAGTTCTAGAACCCTGTCTTCGTATCTCCTCTTCATTGTATGACAGCAGACTGAAAACTAACAAGCAGTCTCCATGTTGCATGGAATTTAGGGAATAAAAGAAAAGGCATCTCTACACCTACAATCATCTAACTAATGAAATGAGTGATTCCCTTGGAATTCCCTCATTCTTTGTTGACATAACTAACAAAATACGATGTAAATAATTAAAAAGAATGGACTGCATCATGTCATGGAAAAAAGACACAGATGTATGTATTTAGCATTGGGAACAGTGTGACGTCAGCTTCATAGGATGTCACTAGGCTCCTCTTCCACTCTGATCCCTCTGAAGTGGGTCTGTTTTGAAGCTGCACGTGGAACCCAGACTGTAGCACTCCTCTATGCCTCACAGATCCACATCCACACACTTACAGAGCAGGAGGGAGTGAATCAAAACTGCCCAAAAATGGCTCAACAGATCATTTTGTTTACAACTGAGCAACTCACCCCACTTCCAGACCCATCACTATGGCAAAAGGCACGGGAGGCCCTAATCAATCCAATTATCCAAATAGCATGACTGAGAAAGAGAAAAGTGCAAAGCCATAGGAAGGGTAGAGAAAAGATGACAGTGTACAATAAAATAGATCAACGACAGAAATTTCGTCTCAATCCCCCCTCTCCAAGATTATCAGTTCTTGCCTTTAATTCAAAATTCAACCCTTCTGTTTACCAATTAATCTCAAACCCATTAAAAATGGTGCAATGATAACAGAATATAAGTAGCTAATATTTATGAGTCCTAATCTTGTACATAGACACTCAGTTAAGAACTTTATAAATACTATTTTATTTAATATCCACAGGGTCTCAATTTATAGATGAAGAAATTGAGGCTCAGAAAGGTTAAATTACCTGCCCAAGATCACTTACCAGTAAGGAACACACCAGAATTCAATCTGAGAACTCAGAAGCAATGTTAAGCAAAACATTAATCAATATCTCTCAATAATATTCTTACCTATATCCCTAAACTGACATTCTGAATCCTTTTGACAGTGCTTGTCCTGCTTAAAACTTTAAAACTGACCTATCACCATTTAAGTCTTCTGAGACTGTTTTTGACTATCTTTGGCAAGGTATGATTCTCTTTGTTTCAAGAAAACACATCACCTTACACTTGCAAGGTACTTTATAATTCTGTGTGTGTGTGTGTGTGTGTGCGTGTGTGTGCATGCGTGTGCGTGCACACGTGCGCCAGGAATTGAACTCAGGGCCCTATATTTGCCAGGAAGTCACTGTGCTGCTGAGCCATATCCCCAGGGCTATAATTCTCCAAAGATTTCCATGAAGTCTGTGGTAAACTGAAAGCAGGGGAAGGAGCTGATTGCAGGCACTCATCTGGACACCAGCAGCAACCTGATTCCTATCACTTGCTAGAAATGATCTCATTAAAGAAAATCCTGTGTGCTTCTGCACTGTGAATGTCCCAACAGATGGCTTAGGAGGAAAAATTTCCAAACAGAAAGAATGTTAATCAAAAAATGACAATCAGAGAGGAAAAAAATTCCTGCATGCAGCATGAAAGTGAGCAAATTTACAGTTACTATTGTGAGGTCGAAAAGTAACTTAACCAGTAATTCTGAATATTATTCAGATTATTTAACAGAGGGGAGACACGTATTCTTAAAAAGTGCATTTCATAAGCAGAGAAGCTAATAAAGTTGTAGTCATTGTTGCTACCAGAAATCCAGAAAATGATTCATCTTTTTTAAAAGAAGTAAATTATTTTTCTAAGTTTAAGCCCAAAACCAAAGGGGAACAGTAAGGATCCGTAAAAGGGCCCTTACACTTCCCCCACTGGGAAGCAGGGGTAAGGCTCTGCAATCTCAGTCAAGGATTCCATCTCTCACTCTGGATTCATCAACCATAAGCAAGAGAATCACATTTAATCTCAAGGCCTCTAATGACTCTTAAATAACTTCAAGTTATTAATCTTCTTTCTCATCCCCATGTAACGAAAAAAATCTATATATTCTCATTTTTAGTGATATTGTTTGAGTTTGACGTGAATTAACTGAAGGAGGAGGTCAAGTCTAGAAATCAAAGGAAATGCTGAAAGTCAAAATTATCACAAATCCTTTTAGAGTACTCTTCGCTATCTTGTAAAAGAGAAATTATCATTCATTTGTGACTAACATTTTTTACAGAATTTTCTAAATTTCCAAAAGAAAAGAAATCCATGTCAAGCCTATGATTCAAAACAGATTTATTTCCTGAACCCAAAGTATACAAAGAACTTGGACAAAGATTAAGAAGCAGAATACATCACAGTAGGGAAAGGCTGGGAAGGGGTAGCTAAAAATTGATAGCATGTACACAGGCAATAATCTGTGAAACGTTTGTATATTTAGAGTCATTCACTTCAACCACAATTATACCCAACTTATGCAGTGAGTGTCCTAAATCTTTCCTTTCCTTCTACAGATAAAAAAAAATGTAATTAGATCCAAAGTAACTGATCACATGTGTTCTTTCATTTTGCAAATGCCTCAGTTCTCTCTTACAAATTTAACCTTCTCTCTGACCATCCACAAAACAGTGAGACCCAAAACATAGACAGCACATAAGAGAAGTCAGAATACCCAAGCTCCAGTCTTAAAGTCACCATCTAACCTTCTGGAATCTCAGCTTCTTCATTTGAACAAGGGAAACACATGCTTGCTGTCTTTATGAGAGGTCAGTAATATTAATTACTCTGAAAACACCAGAAAAATTGCTGTAAAAGTATCAGGTACTGTCATTACAATATATTCCTAGGCAAAAAGATGCTGAATACACTTGAATTCTAGGCTCACTATTTGTATGGATTGAGGCATATAATTTCCCAATCTTTCTAGGCACCATTTCTTTCAAACTTGAATGAAAAATGAATAGCTCCTTAATGAGCTTTATAAAGTCAAATCGCTTTTCTATTTCTCCAAATCTTCTCATTTTTCATTTCCCCAAAAGAGGTGAAAATCAAAAGAGATTCTTTTTAATAGGCTTCAAGAAAGGATCAAAGAAGACTACAAACAGATATCTCTGGCATTTTTCAAGGCCAAAAGCTTACCAAAGGATCCACTTCACCCAGGCTTTTATTTGCTCTCTTTGTCTACATGGCTGCATTTATGGCCATACACAAGTGTGCCTCCATTTCCCTCCTAAGGGCCTGGCTTTCAGCTCCTTGTATTGCTGATTGCATTTTAGCCTCAATCCTTTCTATATGGGATGTCAAGCCAGTTAAACCCCAGTGTTGTGGAGGTAAATAGAACCTTAGGAACCACGATACTACACTAACTCCATCCAAGCTGGCAGTCAGGCTGATGACACACAAGGCTAGTTAGTGTCTCTCAGAGATCAAAAAATGATTCTAGTGTCTCTCAGAGCTCACAAAATGATTCTGAGTCAAGACCAGATAGAGAATCCAGACCTCCAATTTCCCCACATGGAACACTTTCCCCATCCTTGATGTTTTCAGCATCAAATAGCTTGTTTCTGTTTCAAGTTTGAGCTATTTATTCCCATTGTCAAGCAGATCAATGCATTGCTTGGTTATTATTTCATATCCAAAATATGACACCTTGGAAATCAAAGTATCATTCTCAGCCTTTTGGTAAGATACTAGCACCTGAATTAAAGAATGAAGATAAACTTCTCAGTGTCATTTAGGTTTTTTTTCCTTATGTGCTTAATTTCACAATGCAATTATGTGAGCAATGACTAAAGTAATACCACCTTGGTCACCTTACTCTCATGACTACTTACTTCCAAGTTTAACATTATGCTCAATCACTTCATAATAAATGTAACTTTTGAAAGAATATTTTCTTTCACCAGTATCTTAATACATTTAGTATGCACAATAACAGTAAATATTAAAACAATTTCTATGTAAGATTTATCACTAAACTCTAACAAATATCTGATGAAAACCAAGCAACAAGAATTATATCTGTGGTTGGTGATGTAGCTGAGTGGTAGAGTACTTGCCTAGTACGTTCAAGGCCCTGGCTTCAATCCCCAGCATGAAGACAGAGAGGGAAAGAGAGGGAGGGAGGGAGGGAGGAAATCTTAAATATGTCAGTGATTTATGTCTTCTCAGAGTCAATGAGCAACAGAAAATTCTTAACTTCCAAAAATTAGATGCCTTCCAAATACAGAGAAAACTGGTGTGGAAGAATATTGATCCTCACACTCTGAATGCAGACAAACTATCTAAAGAGTGGATAATGGCAATCTTACCCTTGAAGGTAAGCAGCAGAAAAAATTATCTCTGGATAGATTACCCTTATACTGCTTTAAATCAGAAAGTAATTCTACATTCATCTGTAAAGTTGTTACTGCTACTTTTTTTTACCATTTTCTGAATGTTGTTTGTTTGCTAAGCCAAGTATATATAAAACTAAATCATATCATGCAGTTATAAAGACCATTCAAGTCATATACTCTACTGTAAGACTTAAAACAATTTTGTCAAACATTTGTGAATAAAATAATATAAAAAATAAAATTCAATTACCTTTCCAAAGTCACGAACATCAAACAGGTCAAAGGCCTCAAAGAGTTCACTTTTCCTCATTCCAAATGTCTCACAACAGGCCGTGAGAAATGTCCGTATATTCTTCAAACAGAGAAACTGAGGAACAGAAAATAGCTATTAGTATATAGTGAGCTGTTTTGAATGCCACTTATCTTCAGTCACACTGACTACTATAAAAAATGACCAAGAAGAATCAATCCACTTTTGAGGGTGCTGTTCAGTCGCTCACTCAGTAGTACCAAGCATCCACTCTGTCAACACAGGCGATAGTGCTGTGAACAGGCATGTACAATTTCAGCCTTCATGAAAGCTACATTCTAATACCAAGACAGGCAAGAACAAGTACAACAAACACAAAAAGTAAAAATGTTAATGTTCATAAGATGATAACTGAAATAGAAATAAAGCTAGGAGGAGGGATGGGGAGAACTGGTGAGACTAAGATAGGAGAGCTTAACCAGGCTGGTTAGACAAGAACTGAAAGTAAGATGGCAGAGCACAGATTTGAGGCCCTAAGGGAGCAAGCCATCCAGGGCTGCAGAACAGAGTATCTCATCCCCAAAAGCATCCTGTACCAATGCCCTGAGACAGCAGCATCTGAGTATGTCTGACAAAAAGCCAGAGCCATATAAAGGAAGAAGGAAAGATAGAAAGTAATCTCCAAAGGTAACGGGGTCAGAGGATGAGTACTTGGTTGGAGAGCTTTTACTCCGACCAATGTAAGAAATCACTGGAGACTTTGGGCCAGAACATAATTTAATGTTTTTAAAGAGCTTTCTCATTGCAGGAGGTCAAGGCAAGGACAAAGCATATAAAAACAAATAGGAAGCTATTGTAATCATCCAGGTGAAAGACAACTGTGGGAAGACCAGGTGTTACAGGTTGACTGTGTTAAATCTGAGATGCCCGTTAGTCGACCAATGAGATGGGGGATCAGCAACTAGCTACATAATCCAGGAGTACAGGTGATAGGTGTGGACTTCAAACAAAAATACTGGGAGTCTCATAAGTATTCAAATATCTCAGACGACTTTGAGAAGGGGCAGAGAAGAGGACCTGGACCAGGAAATCTCAGGAAAGGAGGAAAAAAAGGAAGAGCTTGCAAAGGAATCTAGGAAAGAATAGCGACGAAGGAATAAAACCAAAAATGGTTTCCTTGAAGCCAAGTTTCTAGGTGGAGGGAGTGACAAACTATCAGATGCTGCAGATGGTCAAGTAAGAGTTAGATCAAGAGACAGGGAATTTAGCTCAGTGGCACCACACCTGCCTGGCAAGTTCAACGTCCTGAGTTGGATCCCCAGCGTCCAGAGGGCGGGGGAAAAGATTTAGATCAAATTCTGCCAATGGGATCTGGCAATATGAAGATCATGGGTACCTTGATAGAAGCAGATTCTGCGGGGGGGGGGGAACGGGACACAAAAGGTTCCTTGGAGTAGGTCCAGAGACACTGGAAGGAGAGGAAATGAAGACAGGATAGACTCTTGAGTTTGGCTGCAATGGGAAACAAAAATAGAGGTCAAGGAAGGTTCTTGTTTTGTTTTGTTTTTCCCAAACAATGGAAAATATTATGTTTCTAGCTTGGTGGGAATAACCTGACAGAGGGGAAAATTGGTCCCACAGAAGAGAAACAGTTGCCCAAATGAAGTCCTTGAATAAGCAAGCAGGAGAGGATCAGATGTTCAAGTGCAAAGGCCGATCTTAGCTGCTTGGTCAGCTCATCCACACTAACAAGGGCAGAAGGAGGAGAAGAAGACGCTATTAACAACTTGAAAACCAAAAGTTAGAATTCATTTTCAATATCTAAAAGACTCAGATCCACCTAAGCAAAATACACACATATCCTAAAACTGAACTAATTCTTTCTAGAAATATTAGCTGCAATGGCATATTTTTGAAAAAAAATATATATATACATATAAACTTCAAATAGATGAGATTTTATTAATAGCAGTCATACAAAATCATTTTTGAAATTCAAGAAAAAATAACCTCCAATAAGTGAACATCTCAGTGAACTGTTGTAGCTATGCTTTTTTAAAGCACTGTTGATGTCTTATTTTGGTTTTTTTCTTGGTTTTTTAGTTTGCTGAAAGTACATTTTACTTCCTCTACTTTTGAAGCCATCATAGGCTTAACTTAGACCCAGTTTTACCCTTTACAGGAATCATTCTCAGAGGCTTAAATATTTCAGGAGGGGTTAAAACCACAAGGGAAGCATCATAACCCTTTGAAACACAAAGGCAGCTGGCAATCCGCACACAGAGCTACTGCTTTCACCTTAAAAAATTCATAAGAGACCTTTACAACAAAGCCTCACTCCGCATGTTTCACTTCCACACAGAATTGCTTATTTACAGATTAAAAGCCTTGCATTCTGCCAAGACTGACAATAATTACTCTCTGGAGGATTATGCAACTGCTCTCTTGCAATATTTTTTACATAATTAAGTGCCCCGACTCATAGCTCACCAAGGAACAAAAGCATAACTGCAAATGCCACCCTCTGAAGATTTCTCACCAAACTCAAATTTCCCCCATGTGTACGAAATAATGCAGCAGGCTTCCACTAACATGCTTTGATCATTAATCCAGAATAGCAAGCAGCATTACTGAAAGTAAAAACAGTATGTAATATTGTCATTATTGCATGTTCAGGACAAAGTATTTTAAAATAGCCTTTCCTCTTAACTCTGGAACGAATGTTAAGTTTACTTGTCCCTTAATTAGTTCATTTCTACTAAATTCAACTATTTTCTGGGTTTGAAAAATCACTAGAATGCTGTCACTTTTCTAAGCAATTGTCAAACTCGGTTACCTCTTTTAATACATGTTCTCAGTCAACAGTTTTTGAAGACCTGCAACATTACAGACCATAACTGGGTAAGACAGGCTCTACCAAAAGCCTTTCTAAAATGTGGCTCAAAGCAGTAGGCTCACACGCCGCTCAAGGCTCAGCATTCAGTTGCATGCAGAAGCAGGCACCCTAAACATCTGGGCGTGCCACTCCAGAACCTTAAAATTTTCTTAAAAAAGCAAAATCTAAGAAAATTTCAAACTAAAAGAAAAACAAATAATACAAGGGATATCCACATCTATGCAACAATTATAACGTAGCGCCATATATGTTTTTGTATGCATACCCATTATTTATTTTTAAATTTATTTTGCTAGGCTATTGGAAAATAAGTTGCACTAGACTCCTAAGTAACTCATCTCCCTGAAATAAGGACATTTTCCTACATACAAACAATACCAATAGTGCATCAGCGGAATAGTCTCCATTATTCATTCCATATGCAACTTTTCATAATTGCCCAACCAGTATCTTTCACGGTATTTTTAATCCAGTCTAGAGACTAATCAAGTTTTGTCCATTGCATTTGTTTTGACTTTGCAATATCTTTAACCTAAAAATTCTTGCTTTTCTTTTTTTACCATTAACTTTTTGTAGAGTACAGGTTGGTTATCTTACAAATGTCCCACATTCTGCATTTGTGTATTTCCTTATAGACATTTTTCCACCTCTTGTATCTCCTTTGAACCAAGGCCTAGATTCAAGTTAAATAGTTCTGGCAAAAATACATCATACTGTATTTTCATATTTCTCATCAAAAAACACAAAATGTGGGGTTGTTCCAATACCTAACTAATGCTAAGCTCAATTATTCAGTTGAGATCATAGTTAAGACTGTCACATCTTTCTATTGTAAAGATACACAGCCCCCTTACATCTGTAAATTAACTGGAGGCTAAAATGTGGTATCACATGGCTATCCTATTTTCTAATGTTTCATATAGCAGTTCCCTACAAAATTGAAAGACTTTTCCCTTTCCTCTACCCTTAAAGTAAATGCATGGCTTTCTTCTTTCTCTCAGTGTGTAAGAGTCACCCTCACTCTTCCTGAGAATACACATGCAAACAGAATCATTTAGACTACTTCTTCGGAACTGTCAGCGGTAATGGACTAGTTGTGTTAAGCGAGGCAACATAAGCTTATTGTGAAATGAGCTATTTCAACTCCAATGGAGAAAGGGTATCTCATTGCTGTTCTCAACAGCTCCATAAGAATGCAGAGTCACAGCCAACCGCGGGATCGAAGACCACCAAACAGCCACACGGACGATGGGAAAGAACTTCAGAGGGTCTCGCATACTTAGGGCCCTGTTTGCAGAAGAAGCCTCAGAGTTGAGGGTTGGAATAATCTGAAGTATGAGTGACCATTAATCAGCTGACTGGGAGTTTTGAAAGACACAGAAGAGACTACAGTGAAACCGGTTTATAATCATTCTGATACAAAAAGTTTCTTTCTTAGCTGATCCTCAGCTCAGACTTTAACAAGCCTCTCCCTAGCAACTGTGTCATTATAATTCCACCTCTACCTTTTCCAAAGGTCTAAAATCACTTTTTCTAGAACTGTGAAGGCAGAAATGATGAGAGAGAAAAGTATTAACAAATTAAATTTCTCCTTTACTGGGGTTATTTTGATCTCTGTCATCATATCTTCTCCTTTCTCTCTCTCTATCTCTCTCTCTCTCTCTCTCTCTCTCTCTCTCTCTCTATATATATATATATATATATATACAACTTAAATTTCTCCTTTACTGGGGTTATTTTGATCTCTGTCATCATATCTTCTCCTTTCTCTCTCTCTATCTCTCTCTCTCTCTCTCTCTCTCTCTCTCTCTCTCTATATATATATATATATATATATATACAACTTTTAAAATTAAGTGAAGTAAATCTTGTATTGCCTGGATATTAGAAAAAGAAAAATGATTTTTTATTTGTATGAGGACCTTGTCATCCTTTTCTCTTATGAATCAGCCAGTGTAAAAAGGGTATCACCATTATTCTATGAAGAAATCTCAGTTCCTGATGACTGTACAGTATATTTAAATTATTTTCACACGGATCCTAATATGGTAAAGGACTTTCATTGGCTCTAATCTTGTGCTCAAATCATTAAACAAAACTCCCCCCATTTCAGGGAACTAAAAATCAGTATTTCCACTTTGAAAGTTGCACAGGCCTCTACTCATTTGTAACACATATAATGTTTTTAAATCATGTAATAATCAAAAACATAGTAATTTAGC